CACAAACCGATCCTTCCCGTGACAAGGACCCTCACCCATAGCAGTTCTATTCCTCACAGAGGGCAGTTGGTAGTCAATGCCTTCAATGTTTTCGCCGAGGGAGTAGATAAGCATATTGCCAATTGAACGGTGCCGATGAGAGTGAAGAAAAAAGGTAATGACGATGGTAAATTTGATGTTGAGACAGTGCGGCGCTGCTGGGTCGGTGCTCCCGTGTCCCTCCTCACCGCCACTCCCGACCCCCCAACACGAGCCCACCGCCCGCACCGGGAGACCTGGCGGTCGACTCGCTCGTGGCGGTCGTCTTGCTCGGCATTCCAGTCCTGGCTGGCAAACGCTGGGGGCTCTCAAATACAACGGTCGCATGGTTCTCTCCTTTCTCACTCCCTACTGCTGGGTTGGTGCCCTCACCGAGGGTCTTTGCCAGATGCAGGGGGCGATGAGCACGGAGAGGATGAGGCAGAGGAAGATGATGACGAAGGAAACTAGGAGCAGGGAAGCGTTGCACAGCTGGGTCGGTGCAATCACCGAGGCTATTTGCTAGCGGGCAGCCCTCACCGAGGGTCTCTTTATTGCAAGGCCAGGCTGCCCTCACCGAGGGTCAAGTGAGTAGTAATTCCCCCGTCTCCGTTACCAACGCTACCACAATCCACCACCTCCACCTCCTCTGGATCGAAAAGTTGGCCCCTCGCTGTGAGGTCGCTGCCCTGGACAATATTTGTGCGACGAACTGCAGTGGTAACGGCCGTGGCAATGGAGCCCTTGTCTTTTCTGCGCCAGGGACATGCAAAGATGGCGGACTGTGTCGATGTAGGCAGCATTGTGTCATCAGGAATGTCAACAAGTTCGTATGACTTGCTGAACTGTCCGCTTGAGATATTGTCTGGCTGAAAGAATTGCCACTTTGGGAAAGAAAGGCCGGAGGTCCTCGATCATACGTTATTCTTCTACCCATGCAATCGAAACAATGTACACCAGACGTTGCCTTGCCATTCAAGTCTACTGGCAGCCAACCGACCCGCGAATAGAGGTGTAATCTTGGACCCTCAGAATCTGTCCAGGTAGCATGTTGATCCGTCGTGATAGGAGGCGATTCGGTGAAGCATTGGTCCACGGGTGCGACTGTATGTGCGTGTTTGTGGGTTTCCGAGGTTGTCTGCGACACAGCCTCGGGCCATCCACCTTCTTTGCCATCTCTATCAGTGTGACCAAAATTGGCTACTAGACTATTGACTGTGCCAGGTTGGTCAACTGGATTCCCAAAAGTGTCAGAGTTGTCCACTGGCCTTGTCTGAGGTGGACGGTGTCGAGGGTGAAGCAAGCACAGGCGGATCCTCCGCAGGGGGGGGCGGCACCAAACGTAGCTGGGGCAAGCCTGGCTGATATGGCAGTAAACCAATGTGTTGGCATTCGGTACACAAGTTGCCGCACGTTTATTCCAACATGTTGTTTAGAACATCGTTATCAGACAAAGTATGTTAAAATGTGTTGCCACTCTGCTTACCGCCGACGTGACTAATTTTGCTGCCATGGTTCAAACAGTGGCTGATAATGCCGACATCTGCGATTTCGGTGTGTATGTGTGTGCCCTGCGCGTTCTCGCCGCTTGGCCAATCATGTCAAGCGCCCTGCCCAAGCTTTGGAGACGCCAGTGGAGCACGAAATGACTGATTAGCAGCCTGAGAAGCGTGAGAAGAAACACGAGCCGTGAATGATGACCTCGATCGGTGCGGTCGTATCCAACTCTAGGCACGGGCGGCCGCCTTGACGCTGCGGCTGCCGCGCTGCCCGCAGCCCGAAAGATTCGGGCCCGCGGCTTCTGGAGGAGGCTCGGGAAAGGACTCCACCCCAAGAAGGTCGAGGTTTCTCTCGAGCCATCCTCTTTTTGTCCAATCGGACTGCGGGCCCCTGACAGTGGATGTCCAACCAAAAATTATCCTCCTCCTCCTCCTCCTCCTCCTCATCCTCCCTCTCCTCCCCCTCCTCCTCCCCCTCCTTCTCCTCACCCTCCTCACCCTCCTCCTCCCCCTTCTCCTCCTCCTCCTCCTCCTCCTCCTCCTCCCCTCTCCTCCTCCTCCTCCTCTCCTCCTCCTCCCCCTCCCCCTCCCCCCTCCTCCTCCTTTTTCCTCCTCCTCCTCCTCCTCCTCCTCCTCCTCCTCCTCCTCCTCCCCCTCCTCCTCCTCCTCCTCCTCCTCCTCGTCCTGCTCCTCCTCCGTCCTCCTCCTCCTCCTCCTCCTCCTCTCCTCCTCTTTGTGCCTCCTGGATGGGCCCCCCACCCCCTCTCCCATCCCCGGCGCGCCCAGCCTCGCCTCGGCAGCCGCACGCCGGGCCGGCAAGGGCGGCGTCGCGCCGGGCGCTGGAGCCGTCCGCTGTCACCGTCCGCGCCGCCGCTGCCGTCTCCTCCTCCTCCTCCTCTCCTCCTCCTCCTTCTCCTCCTCCTCCTCCTCCTCCTCCTCCGCCTCTCATCATCATCAATCATCATCATCATCATCACATCATC